TGGTTACTGGCAAGCTGCGCCTCGAGCCTCTCTGCCCTTGTCTGAAGTCCGGAGACTGGATGGGGCTGCAAAGCTTCTGCCTATCACTGTCAGAAGCGTGTCAGCTGCGAGAAGGCGACTGCTGGCAGGACGTCCCCCGCAACGGGGAGCGTTACCGTAGAGGTGCAGACTGTGCTGGTCCAAATGTGGGTTTACTCTCTGACCAGGACCCACAGGGGCCAGAGTGAATGGCACCAGGAGGGATAGTCTCTTGCGCTGCTTGCAGGGCCTCCGGCATGGACAGCACCCGGAGCTGGCGAGGACCTCCGTCGATATCTGGGGTAGCCGGCGGGAAGCGGGCTGGGCTACACCTCGGGTCCCAGCTCAGGTTGAGTGATCCCGAAGGGGGTGAAAAGGTGCCCAAGACGGGGCCTTAGTCCACTCCAGACTTGTCCTTTCCTTTGCAGGAAACTGGAGACCTTCCTCGCCCCATCTTCTTGGCTTGAGCCACAGAAGGGGACTGGTGCCGCGCAGACGGTACCAGCGGGACACTGAGCACCGAGGCAGGGCTGGCTCCAGGCACCAGCACAGCATGCAGGTGCCTGGGGCGGCCAAGGGGGAAGGGGCGGCATGTTCGGGTCTTTGCTGGCAGCAATTCGGCGGCGGGTCCCTCAGTCCCTCTCGGAGGGAATGACTTGCCGCTGAAGAATGAAGTGGCGGCGGTAAAGCTTGGGGTGGAAAAAATGCTGGAGCCGGCCCTGCACCGAGGTCACGGTGCCTGGTGCCGAATTGGAGCATTGCTCCGGCATCAGGGTAAGGGCAGACTCCATAAGGAGTGCTTTCAAGTCAATGTCCCTCTCCTTCGTCCTGGGCTTGAAGGTCTTGCAGATTCTGCACTTATCACTAATGTGACCTTGGGTGTCGCCCAAGTACCGTAAACAACTGTTATGTGGATTGCTAATGGGCATGGGCCTTTTACAGCAATCACAGGGCTTAAAGCCTGGGGACCGGAGATGTACCACCTGAGGCGAAGTCCCGTTTGGGACCTACTAAGTCTCTAACAAATAGGGAAACTAAAACTAGAGGGAAACTATATACAATAATATATAAGAGATAAATGGGTTCGAACGAACGAGAAGCAACAGCACTAGCTGACAGGTTTCAGAGTAGCAGCTGTGTCAGCAACAGTTCCATGCACCATCACTGGTAGGAAGAAGGAACTGAGGGCGGAGGGGGCCAATGGTACCCTATATGCCGTGGCATATGTGCACCACTCCAGGGGGCCCCAGAGCCAGTCCCCTATGGATACTGCTGAGGAAAAAACTTCCAGCACCGGTGCATGTGGTGAGCACTAAGTTGAATGGACATGAGCAATCACTCGAAGAAGAACCAGGAATGCACAATGCAAAGTGTTTGAGATCACTTAAGTAAACAGCTTTGATCGAATATAGATTTCAGTGTGAACATGTAGTAATCACACCTAAATCCTAAAGTCAATTTAGCAGCATGTTTAATTTAATTAGTTATTCTGTGTGATAAATATTTATCGAGATTGTGGTTGTTAGTGTCTACCTCAAAACCCAGGGTGTTGATTAATGTGTTTTCACTACCCATAAGATGTCTCCAAAAATATTTACTGTACCCAAAGCGTATAGAGCTGCATGGCAAATGAGGTTTACTGTGCAATGTAATGCCACATATCTTGGAAGCATAATGCTTGACAAACCTTCAATTAAGGGCATGTCAGTGATGTACCAATGGAAATCACTTCTTTCTTAGGGCCAAATGCCGCGGTCCTTAATTGAGCACAAATCTAAATGAAGTCAATGGGAGGTGTACTCAATTTAAATACCAGAGTCTTTAGCCCTGAGTGAGTAAAGGCCAGTACACTAGACCAGTGGTTCCCAAACTTTAACAACCTGTGAACCCCTTTCACTAAAATGTCAAGTCTCGCGAACCCCCTCCTAAAAATGAATATTTCCAGGGATTTTCTCCTTTACCCGAGTATAAATTATAAAAGCAGTGATCTTGGAAATATAAAATGTGTTTTTATGACATGCTTATTACACAATATTTATTATTAATTATTATTTATCATTACAGTATTTTTATTACATTATGAAAACGGCAACACTCTTCCAAGATCTCACGTTCGTAGCTTGTATCACTTTGAATAAGCCTGTTATAAGACAAGGCTCCTATGTTTCATCAAGGAGTATCAGATGTGAAACAGCATGAAGGTATTTAAGATGCCAACTTAAAGAGTTCCTCCTACACAACCATTCAGGTCTTGAGCAGTCCAGGCAAACAACGCACATTACAAAGAAGCTTAAACTTGTTCTTCATAATAATTTTAAAAACAATACTAGCTGCCTATTTAATTTTAAAAACAGCAAAAAATATCCACCTCCCTTTCCATTTCTTATAAGGAGTCTTGAAGTTTAAATCTCCTCAGTGTGATAGATATGCTTGCTTTGATCTTCTTAGCTCTTGGAAGTCCAGGGGCTCCGGGCTGCTAGCCCCATGGTGCCTAGGGTCCCTAGGGATGCTCTGTCCGCCATTAGGGAATTTTTTCCCAAGAACCCCCTGTAACATTTCGCGAACCGCCAGAGGTTCACGAACCCCCGTTTGGGAACCACTGCACTAGACTATCTGGCTGGTTTACAATGAAATTTTAACTAAGTTTGTTAATTTTTTGTTAACACATTCACATAACATTTACTGATGACTAAAATGCTATGCAAATACTCCACAAAGAGTAATATGGTTGGTTGGAAATATGTATCATTAGTTTACATACAGAGTGTAAACTTTTTTTCATACAGAGTGCAATTCCTCTCCATGTCTGTATGTATCTTCTCTTATATCTTAACAATAGTGATTTATTTAACACTACTACCTACAGGCCCCAGCCAAGTTTGGGATCTTACTGTGTTTGACACTGTATTAACACATAGCAAGAGATGGCTCCCTACCCTGAAGAGCTTACAATCTAAAGAGAGAAGACCGAGAAGGGCTGGGAGGAGAAACAGAGGCATAAAGAGTGAAGCGATTTGCCCAAGGTCACAGAGAAGTCAGTGGCAGAACCCAGGTCTCCTGACTCCCAGGCCAGTACCCTAGCCACTAGCCAATGCTGCCTCCCTATTTCGGTATTCTTTCTATTACTTTTCTTTTTAAAAACTGTAAGTGAATTTAGTGCTGCTGAAAAGCACTGGATTGAAGAGACTTTCTGAAGCCTCTTATTTATCCACAAAAGGTACCATGTGGGCAGCTGCAAACAAGTTTCCGCCATGCTGCTTTGTCAAAGAGCATCAAAAGTGACCGGATGTCACCACCTCCAAGGGGAGAGGGTTCTTCATTTTCCCTAGTCCATTCAGGTCTCTCTTCTGTGACCATCAGGGGACAAACTGGTGTTGATTCTGATGATGGTTTTTGCAAGGAGGGCTCATGTCTACTGGGATCTGGGGTCAGAAACCACCATTCATTTCACACACACCTCTAATTAGCCATCAGTTAGATTCACCACCAACCTGGACTAGAAGTGCAAGGTTCTACAATTCATTACCAAGTTCCTGAGCTGTCCTTCTCCTGCACTCTCAACCACTGTTGTAGTTTAACGGTACACACATATGAAGAGAACAGCCCTTGTGAACTATGTAAACGGCAAATACAATGGTGAGAAAACTAGGGTCCTTAGTGCTAAGGTCAGCATGTTCTAGCTCTCCCATTCATTGGCAGGCAGACTATTTGTTGATGGGGGAGATTTTCAAAGACACGGAGTTGGGTGCCTAAATGCCATGAGTGCCTCAGAAAATGTCTCCCCCAACGTGGATAATTTATGCCATCTTTCCACCCCATCCCCTTTTACACACCCATAAGACAAATAAGGTTCAGTTCAGGTCAGGCTCATTTCCTCCATATTGTTAGAGAAGCAAGAAGTAGATGCTCTGAGTTGCTGAGAGAGGCGGTAGGATGTATGCCGAGCACATACACAATCTGTTTGGTTGTGAAAGGCTGGTTCCTCCTAAGGCTCTGAGACTGTCAGAAACAGGCCAAATGCGGCACTCCAATACACTCAGTGGGACCACAGGGATTGCCAGGGTGGAACTGAGCAGATTTGGGCCCACTATCTGTTTAGATCTTCATTTCTGAAAGTGCCTTTTACTCCCTCCGAAGGCATGAAATGACCAATCTACTTAGCATCAAACGTACTGGGATTTGGGAAGGCAATACCACCAATGTGCAATTATGAGCAGGGAAGATCACCTGCAGAAACAGAAAGAAACCTGTACCCTTTCAAGCACAACTTTCAGAAGAGAGACCAGATGCTCTTATTGATGCAGGATATAAGGCTTGCTATAAAATGGCAGATATACAGCAATTAAAGCAGAAAACAACTGCTTCTATAGAGCAAGCCAACGCACCTTCCTGGATATAACTATGTGAATGATTAGCACCTCATTTGGATCTATACCACATCTGGAAAAATGCTTTGGGCCTCTATTTCCCCGCATGAGATGTGTGTGTCAAAATCCCAGTGCTGTTAACCCTTTCGTTGCCACACTGCTATGATATTCGTTTGGCACCCTGCCGATCCACTGGGAACATCAGTGCGTTAAAGTGATATACTTGGTACATGACACAGCACCGGAGTTGTGTTTGCCTCATGCACTGAGCTGGTAAGCAGCCATCAAATAGTTAATGTGTGTTACGAATATACATGAAGGAAGAACCACACCCCGCCACCCCTTAGTTAGATGCTGGTGTTAACTGAAGGCAAGATATCCAGAGCAGCCATACATTTATTTCTGCAGCTGGCCACGCGATGAGATGCGAGGTATAAGTCAACAGCACAATCCCTTCCTTTAAACATGGACCAGATAGATGCAAGCACTTAGACTGAACAGCAGCAACAACAGCATTAAATAGTGTCAGTTACAAACGGTTTCCAAAGAGGACAGAAGCGTAGCTGACTTTGAATGATAGCGTATAATAGAATGGGTCACTCATGAATTCATTACCTCTCCAAGACTCTGTCTCTCCTGTCTCTCCTCGTAGGCGGAAGTGTAGAATGGCTCATAAGTAATTAGGTCTGGACGTTCAATGTCATAAATGGCCTTGACTTTGGGAATAGCTGCTAAATCCTTGTAATCAAGGATCTCATTGTCTACTTTTGCCTGAAGGTCAAAGACAGAAGATAAATTAACACACACAAATGCACTAGTAATTTCTATTTTATACAATTCATGCGTTGGGGGAATTTGCCTTCACAATGCACTTAAAGAAAACCCTTCTTGCCACTCCATTAACGTATGAAGTGACTGACTGTTCTTCAGCATCATGCCTCCTTTAATAGCACAGAATGATTTTTTTGAGAGTTTAGGCAAGAAGCAGCATGGTCTAAATAGACAACATAGGAGCTCATGGTTCCTAGTCCTCAAGTCAAAATCCCAGCTCTGCAAATGACTCACTGAATGGCCTTGGGCAAGTCACTTCACCTCTCTGCTTTGGCTTTTCCCTACCTGCAAAATGTGAATAAATAATACCGGCTTCCTAGCTCACACAAATATTGAGAGGATTGCATATGGCACCCTGAAGATGGAAAGCTGCTTCCCACCTTCATTACATTAGAAGAAAGAACATCCTAAAATGAAACAGAAGGCAAACGAGACTCCAGCTTGCAAAACACAGCAACAAAATGGTGCATGGTGTCTTCAGAACCACCTGTCCCCTATCCCCACGTATCTACATTTTTATTTGGCACCCATCACCATAGTATCTGCAAGCCTGGCTAAGAGATGTTGATAAGATGTCAAACACTTTGACATCCATTCCACAGTGTGATTTCATGGCTAGTTTGCACCTGGAGGGCCAACCTTGGAAATAAGTTCCAAAGAGAGCTGCTCACTCCCAGGAAAGTGCTGTAAGGAGCCACACCGAACAGACAAAGGAAAGCTGTCGTTTGTTTTTATATTTCTTTGGTTAAAAGGAGAGTGTTGAGATTTAAAAAAAAACATTGCCAGTTCTTACTTGCATTATGGAAACACCTTGAATTATTGAAACTGAGTGAGATTTAAACATCTAAGTCTCCTTTTCATCTCTTATGCTGTGTTTACACCTTTTGCATTTCACTAAGCTGAACAGTAAAATTAGGTTGGTCAGTTTCTACTCAGATTCATTTCCACCCACGCTAAAGACTGACACACACATTTTCAGAGCTGTCTAGCATTTAGCCATCCATCTCTCATTATAATCCATTTGGCATGGCGGTTCCCATGCAATCCCTTGAGTTAGCGCTCACAAAATGCTGCATTTTAAAATTATTTGTTTAAAAAAAATACTTTAAATGGTTAAACAATGATTTTTCCAAAAAATTACCTGAAGCTTGTTTGACTGTAGCAAAAATGACTTAAGCACCTTTAGCTCTTAAACACACACACACACACACACACACACACACGAGTTGAGAATGTGTCAGGACATTGTTAACGCAGTGCAAGGTAAAACAGACATTTTGATACCAATGTACAGCGGTAACACTGAATTGGCCTACGACTGCAGATAACAAGGAGTGAGTTTCATAAGCTGGC